GTATAATTACGCCTTTTCTTCCACTATTTTTAACTCAGTTTGAAACTTCAAATGCGATATAATTTTGGCTTGAACCATCTAAGCTGACTGACATCAACTTGCTATAATTTCTGTTTACATTACATCGCAATTCGACGACACTCTGGCTCAGACACCAGAAATGTTTTGACGATTTTTAGCATTCGTTTAGGATTTTCAAACAACCTGGTCTCTTTTAAAATACTTTTAATTTGTTCTTACGTGGTTTTCCAGATGTGGTGACGACAACATTAAAGTTTTAAAGAAGAAAATTCTAACATTTAAACCGACTAAACAATAACATAGTAAACTTGCATAATTAAACAGCAACTAAAAATGATAAGTTTTACTAAATCGTTTCCTGTGCAATTATTACTAGCATTGGAGACAAGGATAATAGTTTGTTTGAAAGAGAAAAGAACAGGCTTTGAAGTAAGCCTAAAAGCGTTTAACTAGAAATAGTATTTCGAAAGTTATTAAGCACAAAAGATGAATTGCGTTTATTTTGATACACCCTGTAGTCTAGACTCGAAAAATAAATTAAGGTGCATCATGTTGATTAGAATAAGGTGCGCAAATTTTCATGCATATTAAAATCAAATGCGCTAAGTTGCATGCTTAGTAAAATTAAGGGCATGAAAATCAGTGCATGCTAATTTAAATTGAGTGCGCGCGTTGCAATTTTCTTGCGCGCGATAAAAGCAAAATGCGCCAAAAATCTAAATATGGAAATGCACACATCACATCATCAAAATGCATCCAACTGTCCTAAAATCTTTTACAAACTATCGTAAAATATGTTGGGTCATTGGATTCATTTGCCACGCATCTTGTCCTGAATATATTTGAAATATTTTCAGGTTTCAAGGTTAAGATAAATATACCCTTATGTGGAACAATTTGTTCATAAAAAGAGATATATTTGTCTTGCGCAATCTGTAGACTGAATTTGCGGGTGGTCTCCTAGTTTCGCTTCAAACTCACTTAAAACTGTGTTAAAAAATGTTAAAATGTGCTTCAAACACTCATTAATAATTCATAAGCTTATTGGCAAATCGTATCAATCATAATATGTCACGTGCAGTGGCTTTAAACCTGATAAAACACTCCTAATTAGTATTCTTTATGCAAAGAATACTGATAAGGCAGTATCTATTGTAGTCGTGTCCTCATTAGTATTCTTTATATAAAAAAATACTGGTAAGGCAGTATATCTATTGAATTTATAGACTTGTTTGAAGCCGTTTAATTAACTCGCAGGTTGTGTTTATTATGTCTAAAGCCACTCACGCTACGCGCTCGTGGCTTTAAACCTAATAAAACACTCCTGCTCGTTTATTAAACAGTGCATAAAGTTCGCCTCACTTTGCTTTCTAGCGCATTATTGGGGGCGATGTGTGACAATACAATGACGTAACCATGCGAGTATGCATACATAATGAGCTACACAATATTATCACCAATATCGCTAGATAGCAGAGTCGGGCAAACGTTGTGCTCATTAGTGATGGTCGATACCACCAGTAGCGGTTTCGATACGATATCGTCCATTTTTAGCCATTTATGCCAGTTTTCATAAGTGGCCAAAAAACAGCAAAAAAGTAAGGCTTGTAGCCTTAACTTTTCGTCCATTTTTAGCGACTTTTTTCATCTTTTATAAGTGGCCAAAAAAACAGCAAAAAAGTAAGGCTATAGCATTAACATTTCGTCCATTTTTAGCGACTTTTTCCATTTTTCATAAGTGGCCAAAAAATAGCAAAAAAGTAAGGAATAGCCTTAACTTTCGTCCATTTTTAGCGACTTTTTCCATTTTTCATCAGCGGCCAAAAAATAGCAAAAAAGTAAGGAATAGCCTTAACTTTCGTCCATTTTTAGCGACTTTTTCCATTTTTCATCAGCGGCCAAAAAATAGCAAAAAAGTAAGGCTATAGCCTTAACATTTCGTCCATTTTTAGCGACTTTTTCCATTTTTCATAAGTGGCCAAAAAAACAGCAAAAAAGTAAGGCTATAGGCTTAACTTTTCGTCCATTTTTAGCGACTTTTTCCATTTTTCATAAGTGGCCAAAAAACAGCAAAAAAGTAAGGCTATAGGCTTAACTTTTCGTCCATTTTTAGCGACTTTTTCCATTTTTCATAAGTGGCCAAAAAACAGCAAAAAAGTAAGGCCATAGGCTTAGCTTTTCGTCCATTTTTAGCGACTTTTTCCATTTTTCATAAGTGGCCAAAAAATAGCAAAAAAGTAAGGCTATAGGCTTAACTTTTCGTCCATTTTTAGCGACTTTTTCCATTTTTCATAAGTGGCCAAAAAACAGCAAAAAAGTAAGGCTATAGGCTTAACTTTTCGTCCATTTTTAGCGATTTTTT